CCAGAATTTTTTATTTTTGGTTGCCATTTTTCACCAGGGCTGGGTTTGAACCCGCCACCGCCGGTATATGGGGCCAGCGCCCTATTCTTTGAGCCACAGGCACCGCCCTCTGGAAACTTTTTAGACCTTTTTTTTTTTTTTTCTTTTTCTCTTTTTTTTGAGATTTGGTGTCATAGTTCACAGCAACCTCAAACTCCTGGGTTCAAGCCATCTTCCTCCCTCAGTCTCCCCAGTAACTGGGACTATAGGTGCCTACCACAACACTTGGCTAGTTTTTCTATTTTTGGTAGAGACAGAGTCTAGCTCTTGCTCAGGCTGGTCTTGAACTCCTGAGCTCAAGTGACCCACCTGCTTTGGCCTCCCAGAATGCCAGGATTACAGGCGTGAGCCACCGGGCCTGGCCTAGAAGACCTTTCTGTGACAGACATAGGTCAAGGCAGCACATTAAAACATGGCCCTATGAGTTCCTGACTGATGGGAGATCCCCTCTGGCCCTTTTCATCTCTGCAGGAGGAGAGCAGTGCCCACTGACTGAGAGGCGGACGGGAGGGCAGGAGGACTGGCTGGCTCCATTCAAGCCTCACCTCATCCCGTAACAGGGGATGTAGCTGTGAGAAGCCTCTTTTCTTGGTTCTTGACCCTGCAGTTTGTGGTCTAGAGACAGACACAGCAGCTGTGGGCCAGCTGTCACCTGGCCTGTGTGAAGAAGGTGTGGATCTGCTGTGCTGCGGCTTGCCCGACAACCTGCTCCAGTTCTTGGACAGATGCGTTACTCAGCTGCTGGAGACTCGGAAACTTCTGCAGCAGCAGGGGGGCTTTAACTTTTCCAACTCCTGGGATCTGCTGCACGGTTCGAAGGAGGGATAGCTCAGACAGCGGAGACCGTTTCTTCCTCAGAAGAGAGTTCTTACTGGGCTCTTTGATTTGCTCTTCAACCTGAACCAGAAATTAAGGGAGAAGCACGTGAGCGCCCTCTGGAGGCCTGACAATTTTCCTAAAATTTGTTTTCTGGAAGTTTTGTTTGTCCATTTGGTTCTACTTGACTTGTGGGCACAAATGTTTCATGTACCATGAATATGATTTTTCAGACACAAGCAAAAATGTTGAAAGATGAACCATGTGAGCTGCACAAAAGAGTAAGAGGTAGACAATTTCTAAAAATTAGAGTTTTCAGAATGTTTCAGATAAAACCAGTGAAAAACTTATCTCCAAGGAATTCAAACCCTTTCCCATAGTCCACTAAGAAACATTTCAGTTGCGCAAGACTAAATGATATTTACACCTAAACCAGATCTGCTTCACTGGACCCAGGGGAAGCTTGCCCAACCAAGGGGAAATCCAGTCTTCAGATTGTGGTGATTTAATAGCATTAAATCAAGAGAAATTATGAATAGTGGGCCACGCCGGGCTGTGTGCATTTCCAATTTGGTCCTCAAAGCTAGATGCACATCAGAGTGGGGGATTGGAAACAACACAAAAAAATTGATGCTCCAGCCCTTCCGACATGTTTTGATTTTTAATTGGTCAAAGTAAAGGCTCACCTGTCACTGTTATAAAAGTTCCCCAGGAAATTCTAATTTACAACCAAGTTGAAAAATCAGTAAAGACAATGGAGAACCAGATTTTTTTTTTTCATATTGGGAGTTTTTTCTTTAGTTTTTTTATTGAGACAGAGTCTCACTTTGTCCCCTTCTGTCCCCGTCTGTGGCATCATAGCTCACAGCAACCTCAAACTTGGGCTCAAGTGATTCTCTTGGCTCAGCCTGCCAGTAGCTAGGACTACAGGCACCCACCACAATGCCTGGCTATTTTTGTTGTTGTTTAGCAGGCCCAGGCCAGCTCCAAACCCACCAGCCCTAGTGCATGTGGCTGGCACCCTAACCACTGAGCTATGGAGATTTTTATTAACTTGACATTCTTTTTTTTTTCCCCAATAATAACAAACAGGCATATTGCAAGTGACATTCTTTTTTTTTGAGACAGAGTCTCATCTGAAATTTATATCCACATGGGCTTGGTTGGTTAAGGCACTATCTCAGAGCACTTTACCGTCATCTGAGCAACCTCACCCAAGTCATCACGAGCAAGAATTTTAAGACTGCTGTCTGCTATGAAAGCCTTAGTATCATCAACTCATGTGCCCTGTAAACAAACAACAGGTATTTTAACTTCCAAATCTTTTACTGCCATGAGGAGACCGTGTGCAACAACGTCATATCGCATGATTCCTCCAAAAATGTTGACCACAACAACCAGTACCTTTTTATCTGCAGTTATTAAGTATAAATGCTTCTGTTACGGGATGGACTATGGTACCACCACCATCAAGGAAGTTGGCTGGAGTCCCTCCGTGAAGCTTTATTATATCCATTGTGGCCCTAATCAAACCAGCAACATTTACTAGACAGCCTATATTTTCTTTCTTTTTTGAGACTCTATTGCCCTGGGTAGACTGCCATGGCATCATCACAGCTCCAAGCAACCTCAAAGTGTTGGGGTCAAATGATCCCCTTGCCTTACAGGTGATTGGGAAACAGTTGTTTGCCAAAACTTTGCTTTTAGTACAGATGGGGTCACGGTCTTCCTCAGCTGGTCTCAAACTCCTGAGTTCAGGTGATCCACTGACCTAGGCCTTCCTGAGTGTTCGGATTACAGGCATGAGCCACCGTGCCCAGCCTATCCCTTTCATCTCCCTATGTCCAGTTCCGAAGATCAAAGATTTTCTTTTGGCAACAGACTGAATTAGAATCAGAATTGATCTTCGCATCCATACACAGCATAGCTCTTTGTGAATCTTCTACATCAGATTTATTTCTATCATGGTTGCATCACACTTCAGAAAAAGGCTATAAGGCCAGACTATGTTTTATGCTATAGACTCCACAAAAGTAGGTGGAAATCCCATCTTCTGTGCAAGTTGGAGAACATGTCCCTTCCTCCCCTTCCCCCGGTCCCTTCTTGATGACTTCTATGATATCAATAGGTTCTTTAATGGGTCAGTAGCAACTCCTTCAATGATGACACCACCTTGAGAACTTCCTATCAGCGCAGGACCTGGAAATGAACTTTCCATCGTTATTGCAAAGTAGCATTCTCTCCTGGGATATCTTCACTCACAGACCAATACTTGATTGCATATTCTGCCTTTCTCCTGTTTGCATGGCAAACAATTATCTCCCAGTCATCTGTGAGGAAACAGCTTTTGCTTTTTCTGGAGAGAAAACTATCTTTACTTCCCCTTTGAAACCATTTTCAAACGTTCCTTTTCCTTTACCACTAGTTAAAACCTGTGCCTTTATCACAATATCTTTTGAATCTAATTTTTTGGCAATTGCATAAGCTTAATCTGGTGCCTCTGCCACATATCCTCTGGGAATAGAGATGCCAGCTTCTTACAACAATCTCATGCTCATGTGGTGAGAGATTTCTTTGCTGTTGTTGCTGTACTTGGAGTCCAGGATTATTAAACAATCTGGAACTTCCCAGCACCTGCTATATGCCTTAGTCCAAATTAGTTGTCTTTCCCACAGTACCTTCATCAGTGATGCAGGTACTAATGATTCCCTCACCTTAGGCCAGGCTTGGTGGCTCATACTTGTAATCCCAGCTCTCTGGGAGGCTGAGGCCAGTGGATTGCTTGAGCTCAGGTGTTTGAGACTAACCTGATCAACAGTAAGACCTCATTCTCTAGAGGTCTAGAAAAACTAGCCCAGCATTGTGGTGGGTGCCTATGGTCCTAGCTACTCAGGAGGCTGAGGCAAGAGGACAGTTTAAGCCCAAGAGTTTGAGGTTGCTGTGAGCTGTGATGATGCCAGGGCAACAAAGTCAGCCTCTGTCTCAAAATAAACATTATAAACTTGCACACACAAGTCCTGATGACACGTGGAAACAAGGCAAAGCTGCCACTGGTTGACATTTGAATCACCGTTAAGTGCAGGGTAAGGGATGATCACAGTCTAAAAATCTCACATTGGGTCTCCAACTTGTAGCTCCAACTCAGCTTGCCCAGAGTGGATGGCAAGCTCAGGTGGTGCAGAAGCAGCTTCTGAACTTCAATTCCTCCAAAAGGTTTTAACCTCCAACTCCTGGGCTCAAGCGAGTCTCCTGCCTCCGCCTCCCAAGCAGCTGGGACCACAGGCGCCCGCCACAACGCCCGGCCATTTTTTGGTTGCAGCCGTCATTGTTGTTTGGCGGGTCCGGGCTGGGGATTCGAACCCGCCACCTTAGGTGTACGTGGCTGGCGCCTTAGCCGGTTGAGCTATAGGTGCTGAGCCTCCAAAAGGTTTTTATAAACTAACACAGGAAATGACAGATTGGATCGATGAGTTGCAACTACAGCAAAGGCAGCTGAGAATCTGAGTGAGGTCAGGTCTGTTGTGAAGGGTCAGGAACCCATACTTACTAACTGGACAATGAGGCAGGATGCTTCCACCTGGCTGGACACTGGAAGCAACACCATCCCGAGGTCCAGCACAGTGAACTTCTGTAAGGCTGGGAAATACTGTTCACTCATTTGGGTTTTTTCAACTACGACGATCCCTTGAAGATTACTGGACTTAAAAGAAATAAAGACAGTAAACCATTTTGTGACAAAATTCCTTCCAAGGTTAAGAAAGCTATCACTTTGTGCTTGGAAGGGCCAATGATTTTATACAGAGTGGCCATCTATTAAATTCCACATGAAATTTATGGCCACTCTGTATACATTATTCCAAGAGATGGAGGGCAGGGGTGGGGGAAACAAGTCATTGTTCAATTTCAGTTTCTTTAACCGAGCACTTACATTTCTAACCCGAACAAGCCTCTTTCTGTAGGCATTTCCTGCCACCAAATCAGCTTCGGTGACATAAAGAATGCAGGATCTGTTTGACAGGTAAAAATCTGGCGTCAGGCCATCCTCAAAAATGAGCTTAATTCTCCCTTAAGATACAGACAAGAAAATGGGTTCTTTGAGTTTTGGCAGAAATGACAGCAAGAGGCAAACCGCTTAAAAACAAATGGGAGGGGGTAGGAAACGGTCCACTGACCTTGCATCTCCCCCGCCAGCTGCGACCCGCGCCATTTGTCATTGGCCACGATGTGCCCCAAAGGCACGTGCATGGGGCCTGTGCCATCAGGGGGGCTCTCTTCCATCCGTGGTGTCGACCTAAGGAGGGAAATACAGGACGGCACCTGGGCAGGCTGGCCGGCACACGGCACCACCTTGCACCCGGAGCCTGAGGCCTCTGGGCAAGATCCCGTCTGCAGGGTTCTCGCAAAGACTGAATTATTTTGCCGAAGCCTAAGAACCCGGAGATTCCTGTCCTGGTGGCCATGTCCTTCATTTTCTTCACGTACCTGGTCCTTCCTCAGTCCAGTTCAGGGAGGGGACCGAGCTAGCAAGATCCCCACATACGCCCGCCCCAGTCCGGGGCGACTTCGGGCTTCCAGTCTCAGCAGCTCAGGCCGTCCTTCATCCAGCCCGCCCTCTGCTTCCCACAGCGGCGGATAGGCTGTGGAGTAAGAGATGGACGTCTGATCTGGCCAATGAGAGAACAGAGAGCGCACGCCGTTTCCGCATTGGCGGGGATTTGAACAGAACCCGCCGGTTGCCAACACGACGATTGCGGAAGTAACCTTGGCTCTGATTGGTCGAGGGCAAAATTGAGCCAATGGCAGACGTGGTTGTTGCAAAGTCTTCTAGAAAGAAAAAGCGTCTGGGGTTAGGCCCAGGGGGTTCGGAAGGGTTTCAGGCGGCGGCCTTGGCTGTGATGAAATCTGCTGGTAATTCCAGGACCTGGGTCCACCAGTCCCCCGCCTCAGGGATATTGTTGGGATTTCGGAGAGGTCGCAAGAACCAGTTCGTAAGTAGATCCCCCGTGGGGCCGCGAGCCGGAGGTGGAGGCTGGAGCGGGTTGGAATTTGGCCTGCGACTGGGGCAAGGCGGCGACCTCGGAGAAAGTGGTTTTCGACTCTTCTGTCCCGAGCTCGGCCACAGGCGGGCAGGAACCAGCCTGTGTCCCTGGCAGCGTTCGTTCCAGTGTCGGGAGTCCACCGCGGGCTGTCACTCCTGAGTCCCCCTCCGTCCCCTGCCACGTACGCCGGATCCGCAAGTCCCTCCGGCCCCACCACCAAATACATCCGGAAGCCGTTTCCACCTCCTTCCACACCCCGCCCTCCAACATCTGCCCGCAGCTCCTCTGGTTTCTGTCCCCTCTCTTGCACTGCCTTGAGGTCCGTTCTCCACACAGCAGCCAAAAGGATTGTTATATTTTTTATTTCAGATTAGCGTGAGGGTACAAACTAGGTTACAATGTTTGCATTTGTTAGGCAAAGTCCTTCTTGTAGTTGTGTCCCGCACCCAAGAGGTGTACCATATACTGTTACGGTGTCCCCATTAAGTGGGAGCACACCAATCTCTCTCATTCCCCCTCCCCGCAACTTGAATTGAATTGAATCGAATTGAATTTTTTCTTTTGTGTGAGCATGTGTTAGATCCTGTACTGGCTTCATATTAGTATGGAGTACATGGGATACTTGCTTTTCCATTCTTGTGATACTTTACTAAAGAGAATGTATTTCAACTCCATCCAGGTTAATACAAAAGATGTAAAGTCTCTATCTTTTTTTATGGCTGAATAGCATCAGAGGGATTATTTTAAAACTCAAATCTGATCGTGCCTTTGCCCTTGTGGGAACTCAATGTCCCCACCACCTTCACCCTCACTACCAAATACACCTTCACTAGCCACCACAGCCTTCATTCAGGCTTTCAACTTTTCTATTCCTTCTTTCTGGGATGCTTCTTTCTGAATCTACACATACAGCCACTCTGTCACTGTGTGCTTATGCTCCAGTCTCATCCTCTGACCATCCCTCCTGTCTTTCCTGCTACTTCCTTTAGCATCCTAACTCCAACAACCTGTTGATATCGCCCATCTCCCCTCTACTATCTATTGATCTTAACCAACTTTTGTTGTTATTGTTGTTCAGACAGAGTCTCACTCTGTCTTGCTCAAGCTGGTCTTGAATTCCTGACCTCAAGCAATCCACCTGCCTTGGCCTCCCAGAGTGCTAGGGTTACAAGTGTAGGCCCCAGGGCCCAGCCATTCCCACCTGACATCCTCACTGCCCTTTTTTCCATCTCAAAGTCTGCTATCCATCATTATAATCTTCCCTGCCTACACCCTTAACTCCCTTGATCCTGTCTTCCTTTTCTACAGTTGCCTGGAAAAACACCAAGCCTACTTACATGCAATTCTCTGCAAAACTGTCTGCTTTAAGTTCAGAAAAGCTGACAGGACAGTGTTAAGAAGCGAGGAAGATTAGAGCCGGGTGCAGTGGCTCACACGTATAATCCTAGTACTCTGGGAGGCCAAGGCAGGTGGATTGCCTGAGCTCACAGGTTCAAGACCAGCCTGAGCCAGATCCAGACCTCATCTCTAATAATAGCTGACATTGTGGTGGGCACCTGTAGTCCTGGCTACTTGGGAGGCTGAGGCAAGAGAATCGCTTGAGTTAAAGAGTTTGAGATTGCTGTGAGCTGTGACACCAGGGCACTCCACAGAGGGCAACACAGTGAGAATCTGTCTCAAAAAAAGCAAGGAAGATATAATTGAAACACATTTTCGCATTGCAGTTTAGCCGATTCTAGTGAGCGTATTTATCTATCCCCCCAAGTCAGTGTGTTCCTTGCATTTTTATTCAAGTAAACACTGTTGAGTCCTGACACATGATACCCGCACCTGATCAAGAACCTGGGGCCGAATTACCTAATTCAACCGTGTGCCATGAGAGGATCTTAGGTGTGTGTGAAAAATTTTAAAGATCATTAAATTATTTTTAAAAGCAGTTCAAAGCACACTAAATATATTTTGGTTTTTAATCTTCTTTTGGATCAACATAATTTAAATGTGCCACAACAGTGTAACTATAGGTTCAAATGTGCTGTGAGATAGATAACGTTGAAAAACACCGGTCTGGAGGATAGCTACGTCCAGAAATAATTGGCACAAAATGGAAAAACAAGAACTACTGTAGACGTGTGTACTGGGGAAGGGCAGCAGAGCTAGTCCTGAAAGAAAGAATTCCTGGTGGAAAAGACCTCATACTAAGGCCTGAAGAAGAATGGATTACTTGCTGTTTGGGAAATGGACGGCAAGTGTGAGTATTAAAGCACAGAGGACACGTGCAGGGATGAAGAGGGCCAGCAAGAAGTGAATTGGGTCCACTGGCAAGAACCAACTTATAGCAGCTTTTTATGCCATACTAGACTATTTACCAGTTGTCAGGAGGGTGGAGCTTCTCATAAGGGAAGGTTTCTGTGCAGGGTAGAGATAGGCTCATCCTATGATTTGGAATCCGGAGATGAGAGGACCAGAGTTAGGAAATGAGTATGGCAGTGTATGTAAGTATGGTTTAGTGTACCATAGAGGATTCACTGTTTCAAAAACAAAGCTTACTTACTAAGGCCTTTTTGGAGAATCTACTGGATTCAAAGGCTAAAAGGGCCTTTTTTTTTTTGAGACAGAGTCTCACTATATCGCCCTCAATAGAGTGCTGTGGTGTCAGCTCACAGCAACCTCTAACTCTTGGGCTTAAGCAATTCTCTTGCCTCAGCCTCCCTAGCTGGGACAATAGGCTCCCACCACAATGCCTGGCAATTTTGTTTGTTTGTTTGTTATAGTTGTCATCGTTGTTTGGCAGGCCTGAGCTGAGTTTGAACCCACCAGCCCCGGTGTATGTAGCTGGCATCCTAGCGGCTGAGTTATGGGCTCTGACCGCCAAAGGGCCCTTTCTTGTCCTTGAGCATCTCCTAGGTGGTGGAGTGTAGGAGGGAAGGCACATATGTAAACTGTCAAATTGCTGGACAAGGAGGGGGAGTTAGGTGCTACATGCAGGGGTAATCAGAGAGTGGAGGGATTGGGCAGAGATGCTCCAGACCACCTCCCATGGGTGACTGTGCAGGTGGAACTGGGGTGTTCTAGGGAGGCTGTTGGACGATCTGGCATCCCTTACTCCTGAAGGGGGCTGCTGGCTGTGCCTCCCTTCCCTCCATTGTACTTTGTGCTGAACACTGCCTGATCAGTCTTCCCTGGGGGCCTGTCTGTGGGTGCTCCTCACTAGGCCACAATCCCCTGAGTCTGGTGGGAAAGCTCTTCATGACAGTGATCCCATTCTCACCCCAGCCTGTCTTCTCACCTGCCCCACACAGGAGCCTCTGGTTTCCAGCAAACCAGAGTACTGTCTGTGTTAATCCCAGAGCACTGCCACCAGCATCTCCCCATCCATTACTGCATGCTATGCTCCCTTCCTACACTGCTTTTCTTTCTTTTCTTCTTCTTAGGATATGAAAGTGCAAGTTTATTTTGTATGAGAGAAAGGCAAAAGAGTGAGAGGAAGAGATGAGAAAGAGAGCAGGGTGTGAGAGAGGGGAAGATGGGGGGAGAGATGAGGAAGAGAGCAGAGAGTGAGAGAGGGGAAGATGGGGGAGAGATGAGAAAGAGAGTGAGGAGTGAGAGAAGGGAAGATGGGGGAGAGATGAGGAAGAGAGTGGGGAGTGAGAGAGGGGAAGATGGGGGAGAGATGAGGAAGAGAGTGGGGAGTGAGAGAGGGGAAGATGGGGGGAGAGATGAGGAAGAGAGTGGGGAGTGAGAGAGGGGAAGATGGGGGAGAGATGAGAAAGAGAGTG